TTTGTGCTCCCTAAACCCTAACCCTAAACCCTAAACCCTAAACCCTGAACCCTGAACCCTAAACCCTGATAAGGGCTTCGGGTCTTGGCGCAACGAGCGAAGGTAAGGATCAAGGGAGGTTTGGGCTTCGTGGTTGGAGTTCGGCTTTTGGGTTTGGCATTGATAGCCCTAAAGCCCTAAACCCGAAATCCTAGAACCTAAACTGAAACCCGGAACCCTAAACCTGAAATCCGAAACCCTAAACTGTCAGGTTTTGGGGTTGCGGGGGGTTTTTGCGGATCAAACATTTGAGGCTTCCGGTTTAAAGCTTAGAGTTTAGGGTTAAGGGCGAGGGCTTAGGGTTTAGGGCTTCGGGTTTAGGGTCCCTAACCCTGACAGGAAGTACCCAAACCTTGCTCGACGAGGCCCAGCCGCGAGCGAGCACTTCCCCTGCCATTACCTCAGGGCTGCTCACTGTCTGAGGTCGTTGGGACTGAAACATAAAGTGGAGGCTGCCCTATATCAGAACCCCAAATCTTGGCTGCCCATTTGACAAAACGGGCCTTTAACTTCAAAACAGGGGCACAGAACAGATCAGAACAGGAACAAACCCCAACCTGTGGACGATACGTCTGAACGTGCAAAGTTTGCTTCGCAGCGCAGACTTGGCGGTGGCACATGGGGGGCCCATTTGAACAATGCCACGTTATATCAGACGTTCGAAAGCAGACCTGAACACTGAAGCCTAGAACCCCAAAGACCCCGAAGGGGTTGGCTTTTGGCTTACCGTTTAGGAGTAGGGTTTAGGGTCTAGGCTGGCTTTAGGCTTTATGGGTAGGTTGTACCTTCATTCGGCTTGTACTGAACCCAACAACCCGAAGTACTAGAATCTAGCATTGCCCCATGTGTAGTTGTTCTGCCCTAGAGCCCTAAACCACCCTTCACCCTCAACCCTAAACCCTAACCCTAAACCCTAAACCCCAAACCCTAAACCCTAAACCCTGAACCCTGAACCCTAAGCTTCTGGATGTCGATGGGGCACCGGTGGTGTCCGTGATGTCAATTCTGCAGGTGGTCCCGCCACCCATGGACACGAAAACGTTCTCAGTGCAAGCCGAGGGGGTTTTAGGGTTCATAGGGTTCATAGGGTTGATAGGGTTCATAGGGTTCATAGGGTTGAGGGGTGGGTTCATAGGGTTCAGAGGGTTGAGGGGTTAGGGTTTCGGTGTCTTCGTGCGTTTGAGGGGTTGGGGCTTTGGGGTTTCCTGACTGAACTGCGAAGCTCTGCTAGAAGGGCCCAGGTGTTCACAGCCAGAGTCAACCTCAATACAATCCATACTCGATGCAAGCTTAACTCGAGTCAGAGCCACCGGAGCAGAGGCATCTTGTGCCATGGGACCACTCTCTAAAAGCCACGTCGTGGAATCCCACAGAGCGGGCAACCACGAGCGCTAGGGAGGCTTGGGGAACCCAGGATCGCGGATCTTCCAAGTTTTCGACTTTGGCGAATTACCCCTCTGAAGCCCCAACCCACCCCTCTGAAGCCCCAACCCCAGAACAATTCTCCAGAACGTTGTTTGGGCTGGTGCTGTGCAGGCCAAGGAGGTGCACCCTCTCCCGGAACACTACTCGCCTCTTCCCCTACTAGACCCAGAAGTAGCCTTGAAGGGGATTCTAAGAGAACCCCAACCCTAAAAAAAGGAAAAATGGCCTACTCCCGGTCCTAGCCTAATAGTAACCCCCCCCCACCCCTTAAGATTAAGTACTCCAGTGTAGTTATTAAAGCCCCCCTACCCCGTAAAAATAAATACCCCAGTATAATTAGGGGGTAGGGGGGGGGGGGGTAATAGGGGGAGGGGATTGAACCCGCCCCCAAGCACCCGGCATCGTAGTAGTAGGGATCGTCGAAGCAGCCTCGGATGACAACGAGCTAGTGGTGTGCGAAAGGGAAGGCCGTCAGCGTTACGGGGTGGGGTCCTTGCTTGAGGGCTTATGACTGTCCAGTAGTGTATATGACACTTGCAGAAGACAACTTTCAAGACGTCTGACCCTGAACCCCAACCCCAAGACTCCCCTAAACCCTAAACCCGAGACCCCTGAATCGAACCCCTAGACCCAGACTTCCTTCCTACGACAATGACTCCCCTCCCTACTCTTAGAACATCTAGGCCGCTCGGGACCGAGGGAGTCTTCACATTGCTAAGATATTCAGGGGGTGGATTTGAGTGGCTGCCAAGACCAAATCATCAAACTACCACTCATTCAACTTCAACAGAAACTGAACTGAAAACTCACTTGACATTCAATACAATGGAAGAATCTGAGAACTGCCGCACTCAGACTTTTTGGTCTGCATTTCACAAAACCCGAAACCCGATCTCTGTTCCGGGGCGGCCGGGGGGAGGAGCTCAACCCTGAACCCTGAACCCTAACCCGCAACCCCGAAACCCTAAAGCTGAACCCCGAACCCTGAACCCTAAACCCGAAACCCGAAACCCGAAACCCGAAGCCCTGACCCCCTTCGAGCCCAAGGGTTTAGGGTTTAGGGTTTAGGGTTTAGGGTTTAGGGTTTAGGGTTTAAGGGGCTAAGGGCTCAGGGCTCAGGGTTTTGGGCTACGGGCTTAAGGCTAAGGGCAAATGGAATTAGGGTTTGGGGTTTTGGGGCTCCCGGCTTAGCTCACCGCATGTTGGGTACTTGCTTCCGCAATGTTGCTACGACCAGGGTGGAAAGAAACCCTGTAAAAGTAGTGACAATAATAATAAATATGTCTTATAATTACTACTACTAGTAGTATTATTCTTATTCAAGCAAAAACAATATTGCTGATAAATCAAGACAAATCAATCAACTTCTACAAATAATATTTTCTCCAAGGTGCCTGTGGCATTCACTGGGATCCAACTCGCGCGAAGCTCATAGCCGTGCGTTTGCCTTGAGCTTGGCTCGACAATCGAGGTTTAGGGTTTAGGGTTTTAGGGTTCAGGGTTCAGGGTTTAGGGTTTAGGGTTTAGGGTTTAGGGTTTAGGGTTTAGGGTTTAGGGTTTAGGGTTTAGGGTTTAGGGTTTAGGGTTTAGGGTTTAGGGTTTAGGGTTTAGGCCCCCAAAATGAAACCCCTTGAACCATGAAACCTGAAAGCCCTCAACCCTGTACGCCCCTTCAGGTCCTGCTTTTGTCCATGGGCTTCCGTAAAGCTGCCGGGTTTGAGGTTCATGGGTTGGAGGTTTAGGGCTTTCGGGGGGGCATTCGGGTTGAGGCTTGGCCCGTGTCTTATGGGGATCCTATACTCATTCCATCCAACGACCTCGCAATATGAGACTTGAACCCTAAACCGTAAAACCCTAAACCCTAAACCCGGAACCCCTTAGAACGATGGCCCGCGGCGGCAGAAGCAGCAACGCGAGTATCGCGCAGCGCAGTTTCCTTGCCTCCTTGGCTAAGGAGGAGGGACAAAGGGTTTAGGGTTTAGGGTTTATTAGGGTTTGGGGTTTAGGGTTTCGTGTTTAGGGTCTAGGGTTTAGGGTGTAGGGGGAACCTACCTTCCTTTATCATGGGTGATGATAAGTGGGCCTATAAGTAAGGGAACTGCAGATATGGACGGTTCAAGCCCCATGTCAGGCAAGTACTACCCTACCTAGCTCTGCCTTACTGGTTCTTATGGCCCTCAACAAGAAACCGGTTTGGGTGGTTTGTGATCATATAGGGTTTAGGCAGTTTAGGGTTCAGGGGCCAAGGTTTTACTGTACTGCTTGCATAAGGCGAGCCAGAATCTCCAGAAACCCCCGTACACAAGCCAAGCCCAGTCACCATGAACGAGCACAAACCGGCCGCCATTGGAGAGGGCTGCTGTGCTGCGACGTTTCAATGCTTACTGCATCTTCCTTACTCAAGTTCAGGATTTCCGGGCTTATGGTTTTAAGTCTAGGGTTTGCTGTCGAAGTTCTGTGGCATGGTAAGGCCTCAACAATTTAGGGTTTAGGCTTGAAGAGGTGTGGTATCTTTGTAGCAGTCTTTGGACTGCTACCTCCGTCTTTCCGTGCTCTTCGTGACCCTGTTTTCATGGGCCTGCCACATCTTTCCAACAAGGCTGTCTACGCCAGCCTCCCCCCTGTGTCTGAGCCAACAAAACATCGGGCAGCGCTTTCTACTTGCAAAATCCTTCGGTCTGCAAAACCCCAGAGGGTCAGTTCTCTGAATGACCATTGGAAGCGAACTCCAAAAAGTTCTAGCTGCTCAAGGCCTGGTAGGTCAGCGAGGCTTCAGTAGAGCCGCCAACACCCTGAACCCTTAAACCCTGAGCCCGAAACCCTACAACCTGAACCCTAACCTGTCTTGTAAGAAGGATCAGGCGTTGGGCTAGCCCTAAACCCTAAACCCTAAACCCTGAACCCTAAACCCTAAACCCTAAAGCCTTTGGATGGACTCGGGGAGTCGCCCCACTAGCTATGACTTTGCTGCGTGAAGCCATGCGGCGCAGGGGGGTGTGATGGTCTGTGGCAGGCTCAGGTCTTTGAAGGGTTTAGGTTTTAGGGTTTAGGGTTTCGGGGGTAGGGTTTAGGGTTTAGGGTTTAGGGTTTAGGGTTTAGGGTTTAGGGTTTAGGGTTTAGGGTTTAGGGTTTAGGGTTTAGGGTTTAGGGTTTAGGGTTTAGGGTTTAGGGTTTGGGGTTTGGGGTTTGGGGTTTGGGGTTTGGGGGATTTGGGGGATTTGGGGTTTAGGGTTTAGGGTTTAGGGTTTAGGGTTTAGGGTTTAAGGTTTAGGGTTCAGGGTTTAGGGTTTAGGGTTTAGGGCTTACGGTCTAGGATTTGGTGCCATTTCTGGCACCGGGCTCTTAAGCTCCTACACCGCCCGGGAGCTCGCCTGAATTACGGCTTACCATTGGGCTGAGGGCTTAGGGCTCTATATATATATATATACACATATATATATATATATATAGATGTATATATATATATATAGATATAGATATATATATATATATAGGAATCTTCCTCCATCTTGCAAGTTTTTTCCGTGTCGCCCGCATCACTCCATGAGGTGGGAGCCGAAGCCCGCCTGCTTCCGGCCCGCCAGCATCTCCCAGGAGACGAAGAAGGGAGAGAAGGTCTCCTCAAACATCCTGGACATGGCTTAGGGTTTAGGGTTTAGGGTTTAGGGTTGAGGGTTTAGGGTTTAGGGTTTAGGGTTTGGGGTTTGGGGTTTAGGGTCTGGGGTTTGGGGTTTGGGGTTTCGGGTTTAGGGTTTAGGGTAGGATCCCCGGAAGGAGACCGTGATACATGGAACCGAACACATCCGCCCAACTCGCACAGCATCAGTCTACAGGAGTGCTGAGAGTCTGAGAGCACCATGAGCATAAACACTCTGCCCTATTCACCCCATTCACCCCCTTATCGCCCCCAACATAGCCTTAAAAACCCTAAAACCCCAGAACCCTAAAACCCCAGAACCCTAAAACCCTAAAACCCTAAAACCCTAAAACCCTAAACCCAAACCCTAAAACCCTAAAACTCTAAACCCTAAAACCCAAAACCCCAACAAAACCCGTGCCCCCGATGAGTCCTCTGCACCTCCGCCTCGGACTTCTTGCTGGCAATCGCTTGGGCGGTCAGGCTGTTCACGCAAGTGCAGCGGTTATCTGGACACCTGGGCCAAGCAACACATACTGATTCCGAGTTAATATTTAGGGTCAAACTGCAACGGACGTTCAACTGAACGGTGGAACTGAAAGAGTCGTTGAAGCCCAAAGAGCCAGATGCCTGTTTAGGTTTAGGGTTTAGGGTTTGGGGTTTAGGGTTTAGGGTTTGGGGTTTAGGGTTTAGGGTTTAGGGTTTAGGCTTTAGGGTTTAGGGTTTAGGGTTTAGGGTTTAGGGTTTAGGGTTTGGGGGATTTAAGGGTTTTGGGTTTGGGGTTTAGGGGATTTAGGGTTTAGGGTTTGGGGGATTTGGGGTTTAGGGTGTCGGGGAACCCTAAAGGCAGTATCCTCTGTTTCCGAAAAGGAGCAAGCCAGTAGCCTTCTTCTGTGCAGCACATTTCCAATCGCCAGACTGGGCTGGGCAGTCTGCACCGCGGTTCCCCGCATCATTCTTCCGGTTGCAATGGCACATTGGCACGTCGTCCTGCACAAGGGATTAGGGCTTAGGGTCCCAACCCCCCCCTCCCCCCACAAAAAGAAAAATTGATAATAAGAAGAATAAGAATAAAAATAATAATCATAATAATACTAATAATAAACAAAAACTAATAGGCCTAAGGGCAGCCAACGGAATAGTTAAGCAAGGTCCACTACCGGAATTCGAAGGGATCAAAGCTCAAGAGGGTGTAGGGTTTAAGGTTCAAGGTTTGGGGCCTCAACTGGGGCGTCATTAGGGTTGGGGTTTAGGCCTTGGTAATTGCACGACACTTCCACTCTGCCCCACTGGAGGAGAGAACGTTGCTCTCGGCCATCTTGTCACATTCGGAGTCGGTGCGGTTGCTGTCCTGGAGGTTTGGGGCTTTGGGATTTGCGGGCTTTCGGTTGCACGGAGGCGTTTGGAGGTTCCGTGAAGAGCAACGGAAGCAGGGAAGTTTTGGCAAGCACATGATGGCACGTGGCGACGTAGCGCTGTCCCTAGAGAGCCCCGTATAACGCTTGATCAACATCATACTAGAGTTCTGGCAGGCCTCTCAATATCCTAACCCCTAAACCCTAAACCCTACATACCAAATACTAAACCGTAAACCCTAAACCCTAAACTTTCCTGCCTATGAGAGTTTGGGTTTTGGGGTCCTCGATGTTGAAGGTGGCGTACAGGCTGCCGACCTCCTCCGTTTTCTCGACCGTCTTGCCATCATCGAAGTACAATAAGCAGCGAGGTGCTGTTGGATCGGATGTGTCTTCCCATGCAATCCAGTCCTTGTGAGAAGAGGTGCATGTGTCATACTGCTTGCATTTGCCTCAGCTTCCCTTGGCCCGCAACTTTGGGGTCCATGGTAACTTGGGGTTCATGGTCAGTTAGCCGAAGTCAGCAGTTTGCCTGCGAGCGGCGAGCGTGACTGCGGATGAGTGCGGATGACTGTCGCATGACTGCGGACAAGGGGCACGCAGGAATATCGCAGATAGAAAAATCTCGGCAGCGAGTTCTGCCTGGATTGCTGTTGAGAAGTTGAAATATTCTCTACAAACACATGTAATATACAATAACTCCAAAACACAACTCAAAAGATTCTCAACAACAACATCAAGTTGCTTCCAAGCGCAGCAGCGGCTTGGGACCCCATGCCGTGGCAGACGCCCTGACTCTGACTCTCGATCCTGGCACACCGGGCCTATACTGAACTTGGAACCCTAGCAAAAAATCAACTTTCTTGCTGTTTCGGAGAAATTAAAGTACCCAAAATTGAAGAAAAAAAAAATATTTCCAAGTATCCCTAAGAGGCAGGACCTAGCGGCCCTAACGCCAGGCATACAACGCGCAGCAATCGAGCCATGAATTGGGGACTGGAGTGGGCAAAGGAACGCGAGAGCGAAATGTGAGCCAAACTGTAGCGTACAGCACAGAAACACTCTGAGAGCACGTCCTGGCACCCCAACCCCTCTCACACTCACGCTAAGGCTTAGGCTGAAAGGTTGAGGATCATCTTGCGGCGCACACGGACTGGGATAGCAGAGGTCAGGGCGCCGCTGTACGTCGATGCCCTACACTGCGTCAAGTTTGGCAGAAGCTTTGCCCCAACCCTGGCTGAGAGTAAGAGGAAAGTAAGATGCAATTAAGACGTGGTTTCCATATCCGTGGCGTTGGGTTTTGAGTGTACAGCATTGAAGGAAGTACATTTTTTTTGCCAGCAGTTTGTGTATTTGAACCCATGCAAATCCCAGCCACAACCCTGAGCCCCTATGACATCAAGTCTGAAAATCGCCCGGAACCCTGGCTTTGCAGGTCTACCTCCTCGATGTCTCTATCGAAAATGGTTGTTTGTCATTATTTGCTTCGTTCTGTTTGTCTGTCTTTGTCTCTTTTATTTGGCAACCACTCCAGCGGCAACAGTTCAATCCGTAAAGAAATGGGCAGGAACCCAAAGCCAGCACAAAAGTCCACGACGCAGGCCTTCACAAGCCACAGCGTGTCGAGATGCAGTCAGTTCAGATGCCACTCCGTGTGGAGCCCGAAGCTCCGGAAGAGGAGCCCCAAACCCTAAACCCTAAACCCTAAACCCTAAACCCTAAACCCTAAACCCTAAACCCTAAACCCTAAACCCTAAACCCTGCATGGAAGCTTGGTGCCATAAGGGTTTATGGTTTAATGGACCGATGCAGCATATACTCTCGCCATGAGGAGGTTTTTTGTATACGTACAGCAGGGTCCAGGTATGCACCAAGTTGATAGAAGTTGGCTCTTGGGGAACTCTTCATGTCAATGTGGGGTTTAGGGTTTAGGGTTTTGGGCCGTTTGGGTTTGCGGCCCCGGGGCTTACTGAGTTTTTGTGTCAGGCACTGGTGTCGTCCAGTGGTGTAAGCCGTAAGGGCTTAAGGTTTCGGGTGTAGACGCTTTGCCGCAACATGTTTTGTGGTTTCTGTGTTCGCGCTGTCTTTCAAAATCTCTTGCAAGGACGAAGATGCTCCAGCTCCCTGGCATGCCAAAACTGAATTCTTTAGCCCTCGGGAGAACAAAAATCTCAAATCGCAGGATCTGTCTTCTTCTGAGTACTATAGAAGCCTCAATAACATGCCATTCTTTCAGGGCTCCTTACATGTTAAGTTACCGTTATAATATACCCACCCAAGCATACTCGAATTCTTGAGGCCCCTCTTATAGCCCTAGGCAGGGGAGCCCTTAGTCCCCTATATTATAGGCGCATTGGGCCCAAAGTATGTACTATTGGGTACATGGAACCAAGACGAAACCCCTTACAGCCAACCCTCTCAATCCTTGATTGACTTCGTTGCTAAGTTCAGAAGCCCAAAGCATGTACATTTTCAGTTCTACAAGCGATAATGTTTTGCCTTGCAATCCGAAAACAAGCGATCCGCTGAATCCAACGGGCCCTGAACTACCCAAAACCCTGTTAGCCCCAAGCCCCTGAACCCCACACCCTACACCGCAAATGCTAAGCTGCAAGCGGAGCACACCCCGACCCTTTTTGACGGTGAGTGTCCTGAAATGTTAAACCACAATTGGCGCTGTTCGGAACCTGTTGCAGTTCGGAGAGAAGGATGATGGTCAGAGAATCAGGGAAAACCCGTATGAAGCTTCCTTGCCAGCACCCACAATTATCAAATTTACACCTTGGCTTCGCGCATTCTGCCTTGGCAATTGCATTGTCCAATATTGACATGGATTGCAGCTATCACTCTATAGTAGGAGCAGAAAGCAATATCAATCATTTTACCACTTGCATATAATTTAAATATTCTATACTGCATCAACATTGGAACATGATACAAGTAATATGTGTGTATATGTATATGTGTATATATATATACACATGATGAATATCACGTTTCTTGACAACTATTATAATTTGTTATTCAGAGTGGAGACAAATGATATTGATTGTGTATAATTCACAAGTGGCACCACTGCATCACTCAATTTTGAATGTCTTGTTTTAAAAACGGACTGATCATCAAAATCTGAAAATTATAAACGTTCCTCTAACAATTGTTTGATTGATCGTGCTCAAATCAGCTGAATATTGTGCTAAGTGTGGAAATCTGACTTTTTTCTAGGGTTTAGGGTTCAGGGTTCAGGGTTCAGGGTTCAGGGTTTAGGGTTTAGGGTTCAGTGTTCACGGTTTAGGGTTTAGGGTTCAGGGTTCAGGGTTCAGGGTTCAGGGTTTAGGGTTTAGGGTTTAGGGTTTAGGGTTGAAAGACGGCCAGCGTTCTTTTTTTGCGGCTTCTCCCGGCTCCATCGGGCAGCGCAGAGCCTCCGGATTGAGGAGGCCCAGGCAGTGTCTTGGACACCGCAAATGCCGAACACGAATGTCAACTACTTTCTTGCTTCAGAACCCCAGGTTTAGGGCTTAGGGTTTTAGGGTTTAGGGGTTTAGGGTTTAGGGTTTAGGGTTTAGGGTTTAGGGTTTAGGGTTTGGGGTTTGGGGTTTAGGGTTTAGGGTTTAGGGTTTAACTCCGGTTGCCCTTACAAGCAAGAATTGCTTTGTCTGTTAGGGCGGAGAGTCGTCAAGGGAATCAAGTTGGCGTCCAAGCTATGGGCCCCCCTTGTTATACAACCCTTACTTATATATATATATATGTATATATATATATATATGTATATATATGTATAGATATATGTATATATATATATAAACATACATATATATATATGGTACCCCCCCCCCCAGTACCTAGGTCTCTTTTTGTTCCCGACCTCAGATAAGTTGCCTCTTGGAGGGTTTAAGGTTTCGGGCTAGGCTTCACTGCCAGATGCCATGATGTTCGTTTGAGTGAAAGTGCTGTTCTGGTGGCCTATACAGACAGGGGCAGAACAGCACTTTCAGCGCCTCAGGCCTTCAAAGTGCTGTACTGTCCCTAAAAAACCAATCCCAGAAGCCGAAAATGCCGTACTCTCCCTAAAAAACCTAAAAAACCAATTCTGGTGGCCTATACAGACAGGCCCTCTTCCAAAGATTGGTTTGTTAGGAACAGTACAGCACTTTGAAGGCCTCTGAAAGTGCTATACTGTCCTTAAAACACCAATCCCAGAAGCCGAAAATGCCGTACTGTCCCTAAAAAACTTAAAAAACCAATTCTGATGGCACTTACAGACAGGCCCTCTTCCAAAGATTGGTTTTTTAGGGACAGTACAGCACTTTAAAGGCCTGAGGTGCTGAAAGTGCTGTACTGTCCCGGAAAAACCAATCTTTTCGTGAGGGCCTGTCTGCATAGGTCTCCAGAGTTGGCTTTTTAAGTTTTTTAGGGACAGTACGGCACTTTCTGCTTGCGGGATTGGTTTTTTAGGGACAGTACAGAACTTTGAGCACCTCAGGCCTTCAAAGTGCTGTACTGTCCCTAAAAACCCAAGCTTTGGAAGAGACCTGGCTGTTTAGAGAGAGCATAGTTTGAACAGGAAGCAAGCGAATCAATCATATTCAACTATGTCTAAGGACCGTGATTTAGATATTAAGCTTCATTGAATTGATTTAGTTAAGGGTCTACATTACTTGACCCTTCAGTAAAGAAATTAAGCGATTGGAATCCCTTAACTAAGTCAACTTCAACAAAATTCGCTTACCGCATCGTGATTGAATTGATTTATTTCATTGATGTCTTTGAGTTCGCGGTCTACTAATTTACATGAATTTGTTTGACCCTTAAATAACTATATTCAGCCCGTGAAATTATGTTACCTAAGTTGAGAATACGTACTTCTCTGTACTAACTTTTTCATTGAACTCCTTTAGTCAATGGTCTTCCCCCGCCCCAGCGACCTACCCTTTCTAGGCCTTGTTAACAAAAAAGAACAACGAAGGCCCAAAATCGCGTAGTTAATCACTGGGTAATGAAGGACAGTTATTGGGACACCCACCTCACAGACCCCAATAAGCCAGCATTCTATGCAAATTGTGACAAATAATGTTTTTTTTGAGCAACTAATGTATTTATACAATTGTGTTTGTACGAGGCAAAGTATTCATCAAATACTATCTGAAAAGTCCACTGAAATACCTTATGTTTACATGTTCATGAAACATTTTTTGAAATAATCGTTCTATGCGAATTTAACTACTACAGTACTTATTAAGCAAATAGCCGACTCAAGTGAATACTATGTAAAGGAGCATACTCAACCAAAATACGAAATAAACACCATACCCAAAATATGGCCAAGTGTGCGTTTTACAAATAATGCCTTGTTGAGCAACTAATGTGTTTTTTGCAAGTGTGTTTGTATTAGGCAAAGTAGTAATCAGATACTATCTGAAAAGTCCACTGAAATCCCTTATGTTTACATAAGCATGAAATATTTTTTATTTTGAAATCATCATTTTATGCTAGAGAAATTCTTAGGCAAATAGCCCAATTTTACTCAAGTGAATTCTAGTTTAAGGACCATACTCAACCAAAATACGAAATAAACACCAATACTCGACCAAAATATGGCCAAGTGTGCGTTTAAAGGGCAAATAATGCCTTATTGAGCAACTAATGTATTTCTGCAATTGTATTGTATTCGGCAAAGCATTAATCAGATACTATCTGAAAAGTCCACTGAAACACCTTATGTTTCCATATTCATGACACATTCTTTATTTTGAAATCATGATTCTATGTGAAGTTGACTACTAGAGTAAATATTCAGCAAATAGCACAATTTGACTCAAGTGAATACTAGTTAAAGGACCGTACTCAATCAAAATACGAAATACATACTAATGCAAATGGAAGCGGGTTTATTTACATAACGATGAAACAAATTTTTCTGAAGTATTCAATACAGACCACTTCTATACCATGTCTGAAAAGCACAATTTGCATCAGCAAGCTTAAACATGCACAAGAATCCTAGGTTTGTACTTAGTGAAGGCCATACACAACCAAATTCACAAATACAAACAAACATCCAAAAACGCAAGCTTTTCAGGAGAATCTCTGGTGAAGTTTGGATTGTAGGGTTTTGGAGTATCCCTGGACGAGTAGGAGTCACTTTTGAAGCAAGGAATTCTAAGCAATAAATGCTTTTCCCCAAGACAAGTATTGCAAATGCTTCTTCAAAATGATTATTGCTTTTACTAGGCAAATATTATCTATGCGAATTTAGCTACCAGAGCACCAAGTAATGGCTGAATAAGGTCTACTGCGCTTGAGCACACCCTAAAGATGTACTAAACACTAGTTGAAAACGAAGCGAGGCGGTTCTACTTACATAATAACGAAACAAATGATTCTGAAGCACGAAAAAGACCACTTGTATACTATTTCTGAAAAGCACAATTTGCATAAGCACACTTAAAAATGCGTAGTTCTTGCCTCGTAAAGGCGAACCAAAAAACCAAAATACCAAAACCAAGAAAAACCAAAAACACCAAAACCAAAAAAAAACAAAACACCAAGAGTTCCGGAAAGTTGGGTTTCTTTGGTTTTTGTTTTTTTGTTTTTTGGGTTTTTTTGGTGTTTTGGTTTTTTGGTTTTGGTGTTTTTTGTTTTTCTACTGTCCTGTGTATGCTGATTTTAATTGCATTTTAGTCTACACCCCAGGAAATACGCTAGATTGCACACCGAGTTTGCTTGCAGTGCAGCTGGGTGAGTTGAGACAAGGCGAAAAAGGGTAGGTCACTCGGGGTGGGGGGGAGCGGGTACCATATCCTGATGGGGGGGAGGGGCGGGGGGGGCGGGGGGGTCCCATATCTATATATATATATATATACTATACATAATAAGACATATATACACATATATATATATATATATATATACATATATATATATATACTATACAGAATACCTCAGATCCCGATACGCAAGGGTAGGACCGTGGTTCCAACGTTAAAATCCAACTTGGAGCCCCTGGGGATGTACCCCAAAGAGGTTCCCAAAGGCTTGCAATGGTGTCGAAGTGCCAGGTTCAGATCGCTTCGGCGCCGAGAGGGGGAGTTGTTATGGGGATTCTTTCGGGCGGGTTCTTTTGGGGGCGTTTAGGGTTCTTTTGGGGGCGTTTAGGGTTCAGGGTTGGGCGGTTGGGGGCGGCTCTTTCGGGGAGTTCTTTGAACAAGCTGACGCGAGAGTCAGCAAGCCAAGGAAGCCCGAGTTGGCCGAACCGCTCTCCGAAGGTAACGGCACTTTAGGGTTTGGGGTGTCGGGTTTAGGGTGTAGGGTTTAGGGTTTAGGGTTTAGGGTTTAGGGTTTAGGGTTTAGGGTTTAGGGTTTAGGGTTTAGGGTTTAGGGTTTAGGGTTTAGGGTTTAGGGTTTAGGGGTTAGGTGATGACCACGTACGTTCCTTGGCACAACATGCTGCTAACGAAGAGTCTTCGCATCCCCGTGGATGACATACAGTTTTCCGCTGTTACACGCACGAAGATGCAGCAACCCTAAACCCCAAACCCCACACCCCAAACCCCTTTCCTAACCCCTAAACCCGAAAGGCACAGCTACAGGAGACGGGAGTCAGCAATCTGGAGCTGCATAGACCCCTCAACCCTAAACCCCAACCCTAAACACTAAAACCCCACCAAAACCCCTAAACCCCTAAACCCCACAGGCCGCTAGCGCACTCTCTGCGAAGGTGCAGGTCTAAGGGATACAGGGAGGGACCCCCTAGAACAGACCCGGAATCTTTTCCCCAAGATAACCCCGCTAAAGTCCCTGTACAAAGTAGCCCCCACATTACCCCCAAGGTCCCTGAGAAGGGTCCCCCCTTTAGTCCCTTGAAGGTCACACGCTTCCCGGGAGCCGACGGTGGTCCCCTTCGTGGATCATCTCCTGAGGTGAGACATCCGAAACTCCCCAAGCAGTAAACCCCAAATCCCAAACCCTAAGCCCCTTATGCCAAAAACCCTAAATCCCACACCCTCAACCCTGAACCCCGAATACTAAAAACCCTAAACCCTACACCCAAAACCTCAACCTACACCCTGTTGAGCTTGTATGGCTTGCGATGAAGAATGGACTGCGCGCTCCCACTACGAAGCACAAATTCCAGGCCAGAGCCCTGAGGGCTGAGAGTTTGGGGTGCAGGGTTTCGGGTTTAGTAGGGCTGCGTTTAGGGGTGCTTGGGGGCCCGATCCAACCGCTTCTACGGCGGTTCGGGTTTGCTTGCCCCCGTGCGATGGACGAGGAGGGGAGCCTAGCGGTGCCTTTTCTTGCTTTTTGTGTTTGTTTTGTGTTTTTTCCCGAGAGCACCGCGAAAGGTTCTTCGGAAAGAACTGCTTGCCCTGCTCGCGCCGCACCAACTACACTGCACCAACTACACCACACCACGCCAAGTACACCGCCCTAACTAGCACACCGCACCACTCCGCCTATGCACGGCTTCTATACGCTTTCGTTAAATTCTATCTTTATGTCATACGCTGGGGTAGGTTTGGCGGGGGCAAGCGGGATGCGTCCCTTGCATGTCGAAGCGCTCTCACTGTGCATTTTTGCGCATTCTCAACGTGGACCGCGAACCCTCTGCGGGGATCGTGCGTGTCGAAGCGCTCTCGCTGTACGCTTTTGCGCATTGTCAACGTGGCCGACGAACCTTCTGCGGCGCTCTGGCGTCTACACCGCACCAAGACCACAGCACCTACACCACACCTACTTCACTGCGCCACGACCACCGCACTTACAACACCGCCAGATACGCGTCCCTTGCAAACGTCGAACTGATTGCTTTCGGGATAATCGGTGTCTAGTTTTGTTGGTGTTTTATGGGGTCTGGGACTCTTGAGCTTGCGAATGAAGCTCTTTGCCCAGACGACGCTGCTGATCCCTGTGACGAGGGCAATGCCCAAAACCGCCCACCCTCAGGTTTTGAAATCGAAAAATTGGTTTCCCTTATGAGAATGCACGAAGAGGCCTGTATAAACCCGATTTTAGAGTTTAAAATTATCATTCAGGGTTTAGGATTTAGGATTTAGGGTTTAGGGTTTAGGCTTTTGGGGCCAGGCTTCGAATTGAGGCTTTAGGCGGGCTTTGCCCATCATTTAAGCCCCCCACCGGCGAACCCAAGGTTTAGGGTTTAAGGGTTTAAGGGTTTAGGGTTTAGGGTTTAGGGTTTGGGGTTTAGGGTTTAGGGTTTTACGGTTTACGGTTTACGGTTTAGGGCTTGAGCTGAACCCTACATCCTACACCCTGTGTCTCCCAAACCCGAAACCCTAAAACCTAAACTCCAATCCCCGACCCCCCCCCCCCCAAAAAAAAAAAAAACAAGACCCCTAAACCCTGAACCCCTGAACCCTAAACCCTGAACCTCTAAACCCTGAAGGAAACCCCCGTATAGGGACCCCAACCCCCTAAGATTGTTGTAGCGATGTCATCTGGCAGCACCAAATGGTAACTGGCAGGCACAATGAAAGAATGAGGAAAACTCAGAAAAACGCAACCAGAACAGGTAAACCCTCACAGGTGGGTGGCTGGGCTCTCAGGGCCTCAGCTGACGAATCTCGGCGCGCGCACGGCGCTGCTCGGCAAGAGTGCAATACCCATGACGCTTGAGCATATCATTCTGCTGGCGACGGGACAACCCCCTAAGATTAACCCTTAAACCCTAAACCCTAAACCTCTCTACCATATAACCCTAAATGTTAAACACGAATTAAGCAATTCCACCCATTGTTCAGCACGAATTAGGCATTTGATCCATTTTGCCCCCTCTGACCCCTTTGACCCCAGCACGAAGTAGGCAATTTGATCCATTTTGGCCCCTCTGACCCCTTTGACCCCCCAGGCAATTTGATCCATTTCGGCCCCTCTGACCCCTTTTGACCCCCCCGTTGTTCAGCACGAATTATGCAATTTGATCCATTTTGGCCTCTCTGACCCCTTTGGCCCCCCCCATTGTTCAGCACGAATTAGGCAATTTGATCCATTTTGGCCCCTCTGACCCCTTGGCCCCCCCCATTGTTCAGCACGAATTTTGCAATTTGATCCATTTTTGGCCCCTCTGACCCCTTTGAGCCCCCCATTGTTCAACACGAATTGGGCAATTTGATCCATTTTGGCCCCTAGGCCTGGTGTTTGGGGTTTCAAGGCCTCACAGCCTGTTGAGCTAGGGTTTCAGGGCCTCAAGGCCTGGTGTTTACGGTTTCAATGCCTCACAGCCTGGTGCTTAGGGTTTCAGGGCCTCAAGGCCTGGTGTTTAGGGTTTCAAGGCCCCACAGCCTGGTGTTTAGGGTTTCAGGGCCTCAAGGCCTGGTGTTTAGGGTTTCACGGCCTCAAGGCCTGGTGTGTAGGGTTTCAGGGCCTCAAGGCCTGGTGTTTAGGGTTTCACGGGCTCACGGCCTGGTGTTGTTAAGGTTTCAGGGCCTCAAGGCCTGGTGTTCAAGGTTTCAGGGCCTCAAGGCCTGGTGTTTAGGGTTTCAAGCTGGCGAGGCTTGCGTTAAGTGCTTGGTACTACGGCGTGATTGTTTTGTGTATTGGTGCATCCGAAGAGAAAATAATGAACCTTCTATTTTCTTAATGGTATGGGATTCTTTGGGCGCCTAGACACACTGCTGGCCTAGTAAATGCTCGAACTTGAGATGCTGAACCCTAAACCCTAAAGGCCCTAAACCCTGAACCCCTAAACCCTAAAGCCTAAACCCTAAGCCCGGGGGTCCAGTTCAGCCGGCGCCCGCACGGAAACCGGGGCAGCCACCAGGTCTGTCAGACACAGCCTCGGGGGCATTGAGGTTTAGGGTTTAAGGTTTAGGGTTTAGGGTTTAGGGTTTTGGGTTTTGGGTTTAGGGTTTTGGGGGTTTCTTGGGGGGGGGGTTCGGTTTCGGGTCAAAGGTTTCGGGTTGCGTGCTGAGGGGTTTAAGGTCTCGGGTTTGCCAGGGGTTGTTGCTAGGAACCTTATACGAACACTCCTTTTTTGGGATTCTACGGGCTGAGGGCTGCTGTGGTCAGCTGCAGGAGCCTCAGAATGACAAAATGCAAAACCCCCAACACGAGATCCTTACAACCCGAAGTAAACCCTTGCTTAAAGCCCAAAATAAACCCTGAAAGTCCTAGAACAGGGAGAAAAAAAAAAACAAGAAGTAGTATCCCAGATCCCTGATCAGAACCCCCACATGGCCCAAGGAACCACAGGCTGACGGGCTTCTTCTCCTTAGGCTGTCCGGATGTAGCAGTGTTCCGCGCCGGCCACTGATTCACCTTTTTCTCTCGGAAGGAAACTCTTTGGGTTCCAGGGTTAGGGTTTCGGGTTTAGAGTTTGGGGTTTGGGGTTCCGGATTTGGGGTTTAAGGTATGAGGGTTCAGGCCCCCCCTATATGATCAGAAGCAACAGACGGGTCATTCAACGCGCTGCGGGAAGAAGGTCGAGGCACGGGGTCTTGCTCTGATGGCTCCCCACTCGAGCTGCTGGAACTGCTTGGACTGCTGGGGCTACTGGACTCGTTACTGGACCACCAATGCGGGAGCAGCTTGGCCTTTCTGGCCATCATGAACTGGGATGGCTGGTCGAGCATCCTGAACCACAGCGGTATCTTGAAGTACACTGGCTTCATCACCTTCAACGGGTTCTCCGCCGCCGCGCTCGCAACGCGCTTCACGCTGGAGCGGACCGTCTCCCAATCGGTGGGGCGGATGAACTTGCGCAAGCTGGGCATCTCGGCCTGCTCGGAGGCATTTGCATACGTCAGATTCACCTGCCGGACCTCGTGCTGCGCTTGGGAGGCGTCGACCAGGAGCATCATCTCGGAAAGATGCGGAAAGGTCGGCAGCAGCGACTCCGAGCTCGAGGCCCTTGAGGCCGTGCTCGAGGCGGACCGGGCCGAACGGGGGCGGGAGCGCCTGCCGCTCGCATTTCTCAGACTCCTGAAGACCTGCTCCGGGATCGGCTGTGCATCCGGTACGTTCTCTCGCTCCGTGTCTTGGCGGAAGGCGAGAAGATGGTAGGCATCCGAGCCGTGCATGCCTGAACCATACTCGGGAGAGTATGAAACATGATCCTTTTCTGTTATTTTGGGGGTGGGTTCTAGTATCCATCAACTCAACCATGACCCAGATGCCTGGGAGCACCACATGGAAGATGTCCACAGCGACGCGCGGGCCGCTCTTGCTTTGCAGGGACACCCGGAGGCAAGGCGGGGTCGCTCCGGACTGCCTTGAAACGGCTTCAGCCGACCTTGGGGTTCTCATGGTTCTCCAAGAACCCGCTCCTATTTGTAGCCGAAACCCGAAACCCGAAAACCCTAAACTCTGTTCGGCATGCTAGATTCGAGCATGTGGGTGGGTGGGTTAGTGGGGGAACCCTAACCCCTAGACCCTAAACCTTAACCCATAAACCCTAAACCCTAAGGGGGGGGAACCCCCGAAGCTGGGGACAACGGCCTTGCGATGAAGTCCTGGAAGCGGCTCCTCTGCTGATGATCGTCCTCCAGAAGCTCCTCGAAACGGTAGCTCGGGAGTTTTCAGGTAGGGTTTAGGGTTTAGAGTTTAGGGTTTAGGGTTTAGGGTTTAGGGTCTAGGGTTTAGGGTTTAGGGTTTAGGGTTTAGGGTTTAGGGTTTAGGGTTTGGGGTTTGGGGTTTGGGGTTTAGGGTTGTTTAGGGTTTAGGGTTTAGGGTTTAGGGTTTAGGGTTTAGGGTTTAGGGTTTAGGGTTTAGGGTTTAGGGTTTAGGGTTTAGGGTTTAGGGTTTAGGGTTTAGGGTTTAGGGTTTAGGAGAGCAACTCGGACTCGGCCAGAACAGCAACAACCGCAGTAACCAAAACCTTCATTCGTTTGCTCGTTCCTGCATTCTCGTCCTCTCGCTCTTTGGATCATTCATATGTTCAGGACCTTGCGGAGGAATCTCGCATGGCGAGTCTTCCGACAAGCACGAAAAGGGGAGGTCACCTCAAGAACCGAAACGAGCAAAACAAGTGGATGCCTCGACAAAGAGTTTAAGTAGGCCCGTGAAGCAGTTCAAGTGCGGCTTTCATGCGACTGATTTGGCATGGAGATGCGCTCTAAAGGAGCATGTCATCCAGTTCCTGAGCTACTGCTTCAGGGCAAGAGAGAGCTACGGTCAAGAAGACCTACGGCGTGCGGTTGCATATGACAGCAGGCACTTCTTCTTCTTCTTCTTATTCTTCTTCTTCTTCTTCTTCTTCTTCTTCTTCTTCTTCTTCTTCTTCTTCTTCTTCTTCTTCTTCTTCTTCTTCTTCTTCTTCTTCTTCTTCTTCTTCTTCTTCTTCTTCTTCTTCTTCTTCTTCTTCTTCTTCTTCTTCTCTTCTTCTTCTTCTTCTTCTTCCTCTTCTTCTTCTTCTTCTTCTTCTTCTTCTTCTTCTTCTTCTTCTTCTTCTTCTTCTTCTTCTTCTTCTTCTTCTTCTTCTTCTTCTTCTTCTTCTTCTTCTTCTTCTTCTTCTTCTTCTTCTTTTTCTTCTTCTTCTTCTTCTTCTTCTTTTTCTTCTTCTTCTTCTTCTTCTTCTTCTTCTTCTTCTTCTTCTTCTTCTTCTTCTTCTTCTTCTTCTTCTTCTTCTTCTTCTTCTTCTTCTTCTTCTTCTTCTTCTTCTTCTTCTTCTTCTTCTTCTTCTTCTGCTTCTGCTTCTTCTTCTTGCGCGCGCAGTGCACGCCCGCGGTCCGTGTTTCCGTGAAACTTCTCTCAAGCCCGCAGTCTGGTTTTTGCTTCACTCTCTCTCCCTCTCTCTCGCTCGCTCTCTCTCGCTCGCTCTCTCTCGCTCGCTCTCTCTCGCTCGCTCTCTCTCGCTCTCTCCCTCGCTCCGGAGGCGAGACAAGGAAGAGGACGAGGACCACAATGAAGGTGTGACGGCTTTGCGCTGCTGAAACCCGAAGCCCTCAACCCCCAAAACTTCTCAAACACCACCCCACCCCACCCCACCCCACCCCACCCCACCCCACCCCACCCCATGCCCCCCATCCTCCTAGATTCTTCAAAGTGCGCCCTTAGCTAGACCCTAAACCCTCCCTGAACCCTGAACCCTAAACCCTGAACCCCCCCGCTCTCCTGGAAAGAGCGCCCGTCGACCGCGGCGGTGGTCATAAGAAGTCGGCGAAGGCTCGGGCTTTCGCCCTGGATTCGGAGGCCACCGTCCAGGAGCACCTTAGGGTTCGGGGTTCAGGGTTTAGGGTTTAAGGTTTTTTGGGTTTGGGGGGGTTTAGGGTCGTTTAGAATTCTAGTGGTCATCTGGGCTTAGTAGGGCTTCACCTGCCCCAGACGTAGACGTGGTCCGTGCTACCAAGAGGGGGCTGAGGGATTAGTCAGGGATCAGGGTGGTTTCATGGTGACCCCTTTTCTACCCCTTATACACCCTGCCCAACCCAAGGGCCCATACTTCACAACCCTTTAAAGGAAGTAAAGGACCATATTACGGGCCCATGTAAATAACCTTAGACAAGTGCGACACCCAAGACCCTAGTACAGTGCAATGTTCAATTTCCCCCACACCCCTTAGCCGGCAGTCACGCCTCCCCATCGCAGACTCCCTGCAGCATCTGGCGGAACCCGCGGATCATGACCTGCGAGATTTAGGGTTCTGGGCTTCGGGTTTGGGATGGGTGTTGAGGGTGTTGGCCACTTGAGACCAAGAACCCACCCTGAACCCTGAACCCTAACATGCACTCGTGCCAAGAGCCAAACTCACTCATCCCAGTGCATTCTCCGCACATGCCCGCCACAACAGCACCTATACCCGCTCCCGCTTTCCCTCAGCCCTGAACCCCAAGAGCCCTAAACCAAACTTCCCCGTTCAGCACTAGAAGTGAATGGTCAGATTGAAAACCTCTCTTGGAAGGGAATCTCAACCTCTAAACCCGACCCATGACGCCTCGGCATCTGCAGACTTGAACTGTGCGGTGAAGTTGTCACGGAGGTAGGACTCCAGCATCAGACTCAGCGCCTTCAGCGCAGGGGGGGGGAGGGGGGGCGGGTTGGGGAATCGAAGGACGGTCACATCGAACCCTCGGAGGCTGAAGGTGCTCCTCAAGCCCTCCAACATGCAGGCAAAGGGGCGATGATGACACAGAGCAGGCAGGCCTGTCCAACAGCCAGGGCTAGCGCCGCTTGTGTGCACCCGTGCTCCATGGTGTAGAAGAGCACCTGGGGCGTGGCTTCGTCTTAGGGTTGAGGGTTTGGAGGTTTTGGGCTTTTAGGTCTTGGGCCTAAATCCCTGAATCCTAAGCCTTTTCAGTTCTTGGGACCACAGCACCTCCGCACACGAGAGGGCAACCTGGTGTGGAATGTGGAGCCGGCTGTCGACAAACGCCACAACCAACCTCAGCTAGAGCGTTTTTCGGACTAGAGTCTTGGTTGACGGAGAGGCTGAAATCGGAAACAATGCTCTCAAGGATGCTGGGTACAATGCAGAGTGAACTAAACCCTAAACCCTAAACCCTAAACCCTAAACCCTAAACCCTAAACCCTAAACCCTAAACCCTAAACCCTAAACCTAAACCCTACACCTAAACCCGGATCGCGTCCCGGCGACACCATCCGCCCTGCCGCGTGGAAGCTTTGCACCATGGCAACTTCTGGGCCTTGCGTGCGGCGCATCTCGAAGGCACCAGCTGCTCCCATGACCTTGGGGGTTTAGGGTTTAGGGTTTAGGGTTTAAGGTTTAGGGTTTAGGGTTTAGGGTTTAGGGTTTAGGGTTTAGGGTTTAGGGTTTAGGGTTTAGGGTTTAGGGTTTAGGGTTTGGGGCTTCGGGTTTAGGGTTTAGGTTTAGGGGTCCCCTGACGAGGAATATGGCCGACATGACCGGAAGAGGGTTCAGAAGAGAAGACTGTCACCAAACTCCGCGCTCCTGCCTGAAAAAGGCGAGAGGGGGACGTCGGGAACTACAGAAAATCTTCTTACTTATCTCCCTGGAAGCTATAGGGCTTAGGCCCTCAACCCTAACCCAAAACTGCAAAAACCCTTAACCCTAAACCCTAAACCCTAAAAACTCCTCGACCCTCAACCCTACTAGTAGCACGGGCTTAAGCCTTAGGCCTCCGGGGATGTCTAGCCAGCCGCGGCGCGTAGATCAGGCGGCACCAGGGCTTCAGCTTGCTGGCCGGCATGCGGACCCAGCCCTTGGCCACCAGGACGTGCGTCGCGTAGCAGATCAGGGTGGCAACCACGAAGATCATACCTGAGCCCTCCTGACAGGGAGTTCCAGGCGACTTCCGCGATGTCTTGGGCCTGTTAGGGGGGATCTTGGGGTTGTTGAATGCTTTTGAGGTGGCTTGCTTGGTTCGCGAGGACTGCACAGAGCTGACATCTCCCTTCCATGAAGCACCGTGGATCACCGCGGCGCATCCGACTCGGACTCCCCCCTCTAAACAACCTGGCCTGCATCAAGGCGATCACGGTGAATGGAAGAGCATGCTGGAGGATCCGGCTTGCAATCACAAAGTTGCTTTCGACGAGGCGCTCCATAGCGCCATCGACCCGCAGCTTCTCAGCGGGCGGCTCCCGTTGCCCAGAGCGGCAGCCATTAGAGATCTTGCGGAAGAGCAGACGGACGTCGCTCCCACAGAGAAGCCAATGCACGGCGCCGACGACGAAGACGGAGGCAACCGAGGCGCCGCTAACCGTGGACTGCAGTGTCATGCTGAAAGAAGCACTTGGCGGGGACAAGCCCCCAGTCCTTTAAGAAAATATGTTACAACCCACTTTTTCAAGCATGATTGCGAAAATGTTGCACATGGTTTCAAAGATGGTCTAGATGCCAGATATAACAATAATGACAACAACAGTGTAAAGCAAGAGGGAAACATGGGAGTATCACGTTGTTCTCCTAGATAACCCCTGCCAGTGCTGCACTTCCCTTCCGGGACTTCCCTTCCGGGAGGCTTCCCACTGGGGCTTGAGCCCCCTAACCTCAGTCGAGAAAAGTGTGTTTTTGATTCTTTTCTTGGACATGTTTAGGAGAATAGGACCTGCAGTCGGTAATACTCAGTAGAACAATGATCAGCAAAAACCTTCAATGGAGCCCGACCCCTCATCAATCGCTGAAAAAGCACATACATGGTCGCATGGTGATAACTGGCAAGCGGCACGAAAAACCTCCGAAAGCTTTTCGTAGTTCGCACGTTTATGCATGTGCCGGCTTCCTTCCTCTTTGAGGAAGCTGCCCGGGCTGATGGCAGCACCTGACGTGCTCCCTAGCATCCCTGGATGTCTTCAGCCGGGGACATATGCAGGTCAATCTGCTGGTGCAAAAACCTCAGCTTTTACTAATACGACGACTTCTACTAAGACTACTACAATCTACATGTACTGTTTCTACTCGCACCACTGAGTTCACTCCAACTCCGTCGTCAACTGTCTGCCCCCCGCCCTGCCCCGTCTCCCGAATGGCAATAACCGGCACTAGCGAAGCATAACGAAGCACTCGCTGTCATTCGCCGTCGCTGCTCCGGGTTTCTGCTCTGATGGGAACAACCGGAAAACGTGGTTCGTGGTGCTCTTGCCAGCCTGGCAGTCTCGACACAGAACTTGAGACTGTAAGCCGTTAGAAGCCTTGCTCCTCGTAAATGAGACGCATCAAGTCAGAGTGCATGATTCCCATGTCATTGCTCTCCCCAACTGAATGATATGGTAAGGACCAAGGCAAACCGCTGTCGGAGATTAGAAGCGTCCAAATGGTGTTGACATCCAGGAGAACATGTCCGACATGATGAAGAGTTTGAACGACAAGGAGTTCCAAAACTTCACTTTCCACCATTCTTCCCGCCCAATCGAGTCGAGGTTGACCTGCTCGGGGTCGTGCCCCTGCTCCAGCAGGCCAGCTTCAGGTGCCGGCGTCTCTTCCTTGGCCAAGGAACTGTGCACGTTTTTTTCATGCTGATCGCTTCCACAAGAAAGCTGCCTGCGGAGGTCGTGGTTCTCAGTAATTGATCCTTCCACGCTGAGTGCTTGAAGTCGTTCGCCAGGACGGACCTCCACAGTTGCAGTTCTGCCTCACTGCAGCATACAAAGACGAGCGTGCAGCTGCTTCGGACAAGCCCCCGTGCGCTCAGCGCGACGCTGCCCAAAGTTACTAGAACAAGCAGCCAACGAGATCCGGTTGCTTGGGCCCACAGGCTCAAATTCGGTGCCAGAAAACTGGGCCGTCTCGCGGTCCCAAAAATGGTGCCGCGAAATGGACCCAGCTCCCGCAGCACAATTTGGAATTGAATTGGAGGGGTGAAACCGCGACCCCAAAATTGGGGCCGTTTGGCGACCCCAGTTTCGGGGTCGTGAATTCTTTATTCTTTTATTTTTGGGTTCAATTCCGCGCTTTCCAGACTGCTACACTCAGGCGACTCTGGTCCACCGCCAGTTGAGCTGCAGGTCTTTGTTAGTGCTTTCTGTGGATAGGAGTCACGCTTCAAGCTGTGGGAAGTTGACCAACGTGGCTTCAACGTTTTCTGCGGTTGCGCAGTCGACCTTGCACAATGAAAGCTTTTGGCAGGTTTGCGCTTTGGGCGGCGGGGATATGTGCTGTGCCGGGGCGACTTGTGCTCCTAGCGAATCAGCTGTTGCCGAGCACCTTACAGCATTTTTAATTCAGTGCCATCGACCCTGGTCTTTGCTAGAGCCAAACAGACGCATGTTTTGGAGCAGCAAGTGCTTGCGTGTGAGAGAGAGACAGAGTGTCTGTGAGTGTGTGAGGAGTGTGATGAGAGTGAGAGCGAGAGAGAGCGAGAACGAGAGCGAGAGCGAGAGTGAGAGCGACTTTTTGACTTTGCATTCGCAGAACCGTCTCCTGGTTCCATGCGCGGCATTGGCGACACGCCGAACTTTTGAAAAAAATTATGAGCCCGAGCGGTGCTGGTAACTATGTTTCTGTACGGGCCTAGCTCTGAGCAGAGGCCAAATCAGATCATGAATCCGGCATCACTCGCAGCACAGAAAGAGTCAGCAAGTTGAAAGCACAATACGCAACAGTTTTCACTCAAAGACCGGGAGTATGTAGGATGACATCCTGTAGCCGGTTTCCTATCATCCGTGCACCACCATGTGCAAGGCGGACTCCCCGTGAGGGCCGACGGTCTCCCCGAGGGGGCCGAAATTCCCCGGTCACCAACGGAAGCAGCTGAAGCTGAGGAAGGCAGCAGCTCCTGAGCAGCATCCGCGCATTTAGAAGGGTGTGCTAAAAAGGAGGGGCAGTGACCCTGCTCGAGTCTCGGCCCCTGGTGTAGTATCCCTGCAAAGCAGTCCACTCAACATCAGCCTACTTTCCCAACGAACCACCTGGTGTCCCTGTGCCTGGCGATGAAACGGCGTGTCGGGCCGAGAGCTTGTTTTCGTTCAGACGGCACCCGCCGCCGCACGCAGAGCGAGCTACAGACGAAGGCTGAGAAACGAGAGGCCAAGCAGCGGCACATCTGTTTGTAGCTGTGGGTCTGACACTGACTGTGAAGTTCCATCTGCAAGAGAGGATCCACGAAGACCCGGCGGTTTATCTGCTGACTTACACATACATGCTCAACAGTCTAGAATTGGCCTCCTCGGGGGTGCCACCTCAGTGGATATACGGCTCCCCCGGAGGCCGAATCAGGGCCCTGTAAACGGCTGCAGACAAAAAATGCGCAGCAGACAGCAAACTTAAGCAATTGGTCAGACCAAACCGCAGCAGTGGGGCGTGACGTCGTCCAAGATGATAGGGACGACCTTGAGTGGATACATCGGTGCAACGAGTGCAGCAGGTTGAGGCTGCAAAGATGCGCGGTATAACGTAGAATTGCCCATCTTGGAGCTTCGCACCATGTGGGACAGGAACCGGACCTGAGGTCGGGTATCCGGCAACTCTTGCACCTCTCATCTGGCAGGAGGTTTGCGAAGAGGGCACACAAAAGTGAGGCTCGGACTTGGGACCGGGCACGGCCCAGATCGGCTGCGTTCCTGAGAACCACCGTGCATATGCGTTGCAGTTGCCGTCGTGAGCAGCGCCAAGAAGATGCCTAAGCAGATGCGGGCTCCTAGAGGCGGGACGTGACAGGCACAACAAGAAATCAGTCCATGAAGTGCAGGTCAACCACTCGAAGTTCCCTGGGTTCTGAAAAGTCGGAGTCTGGCATTGCTTCCTCGGCCGAGCACTGCATCGTGCTTTCGCTGTGCATTGGTTTCTGCCAGGGCCACCAAGCAATCATCAGAAGGGCAGTGATCTTCTGCGTGGTTTCTTCTTGGGGCCCGGGAAGGGTCAGGCACCCTGGTGTTCCATTGTGGCAGGAGACCTGGGCAGGCACCTGACAAGGTGCAGAAGATTGCTCACCATGCACATCGCCAGCGCACGCGCAGCAAACGCCATGTCATACGGCACCCGTTGGTATGTACAAGCTTTGCTAGTGGAGCCGATCTGAGCCGGGGTGCTTAGAGCGAGAGCGAGAGCGAGAGCGAAAGCGAGAGCGAGAGCGAGAGCGAGGGTGAGGGTGAGGGTGAGGGTGAGAGTGAGTGAGAGTGAGAGTGAGTGAGAGTGAGAGTGAGAGTGAGAGTGAGAGTGAGAGTGAGAGTGAGAGTGAGAGTGTGAGTGAGAGTGAGAGTGAGAGGTGAGAGTGAGAGGTGAGAGTGAGAGGTGAGAGTGAGAGGTGAGAGTGAGAGGTGAGAGTGAGAGGTGAGAGTGAGAGGTGAGAGTGAGAAGTGAAGGTGAGAGTGAAATTGAAAGTGAGAGTGAGAGTGAGAGGTGAGAGTGAGAGTGAGAGTGAGAGTGAGAGCGCGAATGAGAGTGAGAGTGAAAGTGAGAGTGAGAGTGAGAGTGAGAGTGAGAGTGAGAGTGAGAGTGAGAGTGAGAGTGAAAGTGAGAGTGAGAGTGACAGTAAGAGTAAGAGTGAGAGTGAGAGTGCGAGTGAGAGTGAGAGTGAGAGTGAAAGTGAGAGTGAGAGTGAGAGTGAGAGTGAGAGTGAGAATGAGAGTGACAGTGAAAAGTGAAAGTGAAAATGAAAGTGAGAGTGAGAAACAACCTGGACTAAAATTCTGCTCGGTCTTCGGATCTGGCCTTATTACCCTACGTTTGCTGCGCGTGGGGACCCTTTTTACGGCATTTTCCAAGAAAAAAAACGCTAACGCCACAAAGGTAACAAGCATTTTTTGAAGCCGCATTAGGCACTTTTTAAGCTTTTTAAGTTCAGTTTGTCATCCTTTAAGATGTTGCTGGGTCCTTGTTCACGCTCTGCAGCAATGGTCTCAACCTGCAGCGCCTTCTGCCTTTTTGTCGCGCCGTCACCTGCTGCCTGCCTCTCCCCAGCCTGCATGGTTTCCAGTCTTCAATACTTGGGCATTTTTCTGAAACCCTAAACCCTAAAAGTCTGCCGTCTTTTTCTGGGGTTTGGATTTGCTTCACTTTCTCCAAACCCCCAGCAAAGGACCTACCTTGTCTTAAATCAATAAGTGTTGTCGAAAATCCCCTTTCCCCAGGCAATGTTGCAACACGTTGGTTGTGTTAGACCGACCTTCGGAATCCAACATTGCCATTGGGGGCTTGGAGGCACACGCAAGGGCTTGTGACCGGAGACAAGCATCCTTTTCCAGGCTCTTTAGGCTCCAAGTCCTTGCGATTTCAAGGTAGCTCTTAAGGTCGGGCTGCGCTGCTTACTACGTTCTGCAGACCCTGCACACCTGCAGCAAGCATGCGGACTCTGCAGCAAGCCTGGTTCGCTGTTGGGGCAAGGTGGGTGTTTGCTTGCTTGTGCGCTTCCTCAGTTCGCAAGAGCAAGAACGCCCGCGAAAGTGCTTTGCGCATAGCAAGCTTCTTTAGGGTCTAAACCCTAAAAGGCTGCCGCTCCAGAGGTCGCACCCGGCCAGAAAAACACAAGAAGCGTGGAACACGTTTGAGTGCTACAGGAAGAAACCCTAAACCCTAAAAGTCTGCCGCTCCAGAGGTTGCGCCCGCCTCGCCCAACACACAGCCGCACTACTGCCTATTGATGCGAATAACTGCCCTGCACCCAGCAGCAAGCCTGCCTCTTCCACCCGTGCAGCGTATCAACTTCTTGCAAAAGTGGAGTGCGCTTACTACAATTGCTACAGTACACCTTCTAGCAGAAGTCTTGGTAGGAGCCATCCTTACACATGGCAAAAGCGTAGTCTTGATAAAGTCTGCGCAAAGATCAAGACGTTAACTGGAGATGCAACCAAGAGGGACGAAGACAAGATGGAGAAGAACACGGAGAAGACCGAGAAGAAGGAAAAGAGAAAAGAAAGAAGAAAATCTTGCCGGATGTTAATGTGCACCCCCGCCACCTTTAGCGGCAAGGGCAGCACCTGTTCGTTGGCAAGAATAGTGGGCATCCGCGTTGTAGGCGAGCTGGATTGTCAAGAGGTTCAATGGATCCTAGAGCAGCAGCGCCAGAATGTGCGGAGGAGCAGGACCATGCAAAGGCCGGAACCCACAAGGCTCTGCACTCTTGGCTCTTCTGCCCAGGTTGCGCCTGAGTCGGAGCACGAGCAGATGCCAGAGATGTGACGTGGCAGACAGGGACCGCTTCGGCTCCGCCTAGTTGTTGACGTCCCCTTTTTCCCCCAGACGGGGGCCTGGCGGTGGCTTTAAAGGTGAAAGGGAATGGTAACGCTGTCACGGACACAAGGCCTAGCTGCTCCACCAGGAACAGGGTGCTTGCTTTCGGCGAGCTTCAAAAGTGTGTTTTCTCATCAGAAATCGCACAGTTTTGGGCCTTCATTTTAGGCCAGAAATTGGGTTCCAAAACTGGGTCTGCCTAATTCGAAACTCTTAGAAAAGATCCCATTTTGAGCTTCGCTTTGGGGCCCAAAAATAGGACCCCAGAATGGGCCGTGAAACGTGGCAAGTGTGCTTTCAATTTGCGGAGACACGCAAAGCATGCACCACATGTTTGGGTCGGACGCAAAGATGGCGATCGCTTAAGACTGTTGGCAATAGTGTTATAACGGAACAAGTATTTCACATGACAAGCTGAATTGCAACTGGGGGGGTACTCTGATGCGTCCTATGTTTCTCGTTGTTTGTCGGTCCTGAATGTGGACCCGCGCGATACCACGTTTTTCAGCGATTTTTCCAACGGGCAGCCCGCAAAAGTTGGAAAAAAGGCTCTGGGAGGTCCTGATGAGGTTTTGGAGCCCTTGCAGGGGATTGTGAGGCCTTACTTGAGTATTTGAAAGACTGGTAAACCGGAAAACCCTTGAGAAAGCGCGTGTAGCAGACCTGTACACGAGTACTACTCAAAAATGCGGGAAAACAGCGTGTAGTACCTTGATTCCAAGTAGAAACATTACATGAACCTTAAATTTTTAAAAAAACTATGCATTCATGTAGTACACTGTGGTTTTTCCCCAGCGCGGAGCGTGTAGTACCAGTTTTGATGAAATTACACCCGAGGCGAAATCCAGCTTTTCCCACAGCGCGGAGCGTGTAGTACTAGTTTTCATGAAATTAGACTGGCGGAAAAATCCAGCTTTTCCTACAGCGCGGAGCATGTGACACCTGGTTTTTAATTTGCAGTTCTACAGGTCAGGGGCTTTCAAGCTTCCTGCAGACACTGGGGCCTTCAAGCCTTTGTGTTTACAAGGGGAAATGGACCCTGTGTGAATGCAGGAAAATGCCCAAGTAATTGAAGACTGGAAACCATGCAGGCTGGGGGAGAGGCAGGCAGCAGGTTTTGCAGGCTTGCTGTAGGGTCTGTAGGGGCGGCGTGCGGCAGGGTCTGCAGGTTGCCCGCAGGCGCTGCTGGCCTGCAGGCTGCTGCAGGGTCTGCAGGCTTGCCGACAGCCTACAGACCCTGCAGCTGTCGGCTTGCTGCAGGGGTCTGCAGGCTTGCTGCGTCAGGCTGCTGCAGGCTTGCTGCAGAGTCCGCGTGCTTGCTGCAGGTCTGCAGGGTCTGCAGAACGCAGTAAGCAGCGCAGCCCGACCTTGAGAGCTGCCTTGAAATCGCAAGGACTTGGAGCCTGAAGAGCCTGGAAAAGGATGCTTGTCTCCGGTCACAAGCCCTTGCGTGTGCCCCCGAGCCCCCAATGGCAATGTTGGATGCCGAAGGTCGGTCTGACATGACCAACGTGTTGCAACATTGCCATTGGGGAAAGGGGATTTTCGACAACACTTATTGATTTGGGACAAGGTAGGCCCTTTGCTGGGGGTTTGGAGAATGTGCCTCAAGTGAAGCCAAATCCGACCCCAGAAAGACACAAGAAGCGTAGGACACGTTTGAGTGCCCCCTTCAGTAATCTGCGAGGAATGTGTGTTGAGAAGAAGAAACAACAAGAAACATACAGGCGCTCTTGGAGGTCATCTCACATTCAGTAGAAGCCGGCAAGATGGAGCAACCCCCGCTGTTTGCCGCTATGAAGTCGAGGAGGAAGGGCTGGAGGGAAACTGGAGCTGGGTTCGTTGGAGGACTACAAGAATCCAGACTTGCCGAACGTGGTACTTACCAGTCCGACACTGTCGCTCTCGCATCCGGATCAAGAGGTGCTCGCGCATGCATACGGGCAGGCTTGCAACAGTGCTTTGGCCCATCAAACTGTTGCCTAAACCCTCCCGGAAGGCTCAGAAGTGATCAAGCTTCTCAAACTGCTGCCTAAAACTTCTCCGGAATGCTTAAAGTGCTCTCCACAAAAAATCGGCCGCTGCGCGGGGCTCCAAATTATGGCCAGCTGAAAAAGCGCAGCCATGCTGTTGAACGCCCCTATTCTTTGCGCAAACTGCTGAAACCTTCTCTGGAAGGCCCAGAAGCGATCAGGTCTCTCTCTACGGACGCGTTAAGCAGTTTAGGTGACGGAGGTTCCTTGCCTTACGGCCTACCCATACTTCGCTTAATGTCTGTACCAGACGTGGCGCAGCATTGCTATGGGTAACAGGCAGCTAAGTGATTGGTGCCGGTAGGTTCTTGTTTGCATTGGTCTTACCTTGCTGGCCTTGCGTTAAGTTGTCTTGCAATAAGGGCCTCTGCGCTAGCGGTTGCTTCTTTGTAGTTACGACTTCTTTTGCACTCGCTGACTTGTACAGTTTTTTTTTTTTGGCTCTTGAAGTAGATGTTCTTCCGTTGTTGACGTGCGGCGCAAAGAGAGGTGAGTCCTTCCTACATTCCTGCTTGGGATAGGGCGGAAGGCACTATCGCTTACTTGCTTGCCTGTATGTCGCCACAGCCTGATTTTTAGGCGTTCGTGGCCACTGTGCTGCTGATGTGGTAAAGGGGCGTCCGCTTCAAAAGTGATCGGGTCCGCTGTCTGGACTGAGGTCACTGCCTCACACTTGAGTAAGAAGGTTACTGAAGACGATGAGATGTATGGCAACTGGCGCCCGAGTTCGCCTGGAACTGGCACTGGCGCTGTGGCCCAAGCAACTGCTCTGTCCACTGTGATTACTGGGATGAGACGATCAATTGGATTTGAGCATGAGGCTACGATCACTGTGAGGCCTTCCGGAGCCTCGCGAGCAACTGCAAAGAATTGCAGATGCAGGGAGTCGATGGGGGGATCCACTCATGCCAAGCCACTGGCATCGGCTGGCCTCTGAGATGGGGACCCCCGCCGATTGAAGTGCCTGAGAGCACTGACAGACTTGGAGACTGGCTGGTCGTTGAGTAGGCCACGGAAAGCTGACTGTTCACTGGTCTTGGTGACTGTTTTGCCACTGTGAAGCTGAAGTGAGACCTAGCAGCGCTGTGCAGGCCAGCTGCTTAGACTGTTCTGATAGCAAGCACAAAAGCGCTGTGGTGAGCCTTCGTTTGAAATTGTTTTAATTTTTCAGTTGAATTTACTGCTGTTATGATTAGACGACTGTTGTGAGTCTGATGCTGAAGCATTGACTCAAGGGACTGTGTTAGAGTGCACTGTTCCCTGAAGAACCCGAGCAGTACACACTGCTCATACGGATCAAAGCTGCCGTCACTGCTTTGGCTCCCGGCTCAAGGCCACACTGTTGGCTCAAGTGCGAAAACATAAAAACTGCAGAAGCTGCTCACTGCTGTGATCATCTGCAGTGATTGCGAAGTGCATCTGAAACTGTTCAGTGAGTGTCCCTTTGAATTTTTCGAGGGGCATCCCAGGGAAAAGTGTTCAAAGGGTTGGGTAAGGGAAGGAGACCGGATCCCGTGTCTGCTGGTTCCAAACGCTTCTCGGCAGGAAGCCGAGGCGAATCCCTTTTAACGATTGCTTTTCCAAGGGGGATCATGGAGATGCGTTGGTGTTTTGTTGGCTCAGTTGCGGGCAAAAGTTTTCCTGTACGTGCTTGCTTAGAAATTCACACTCGATTGTTACAGGCCGCATGTAAGCAACTGTTGCGCCTGTTAGAAGCTTCGAAACCATTTCTGAAAAGCAGGTTTGTTTGGGTTGTTGCCGCGAAAGTCTCAGAATCAAAAGTGTGAGGCTTCGTGGCTGCGCCATGATCCAGCGGGGGTGTCCGAAAATAGGGGTACCTTATGATTAGGCGGAATCCTACTATTTGGGGGTCGATACTAAGGGTCCCCTACTCTGGTGTTGGAGCTTCGGCTTTAGAGGTAAACTTTGGAGCTGCTGGGTTTTCTAGGTCGCTCGGATGCATCAGCTCGCCTTGTCACCTGAGGATCTTCACCATGCAAGCCAGCTTTCAGCGTCCGGAAGGCAGCCTCTTTCGGGAGGTTTAAGGTTTAGGGTTTAGGGTTTAGGGTTTAGGGTTTAGGGGTCGCAAGCTCTTGTGTCAGTCCTCCGAAGACAGAATAGCTGCCTTGACGCTTCAAGACAGGGGCCTTTCTTTGTTTGGCCGCTTGTCGTCAGGCTATTCGGTGTGCCATCAGGCCTTGATGCCACAGGTTCCAGATCCCGAATCTTTGCCAACTGCCGCCTACCCGCACTAGGCTGAAATAACTGGACATGGAGCGGCCCCCAGCTGTGTAGCTCATCGTGTGGAAGCCGAAGGAAGAGCAGCGATTCAAGAACCTCTTGCATGATCCAGAGATCCAGCCCTTGGCCAAATGGATCCTGAAGCACAGGCAGGGCTGCTGGAACTCCGCTTTGACTCTCTCATCGATCTTTTGGACATGCTACTGGGTGCAACCAGGAAGAAATTCGTCAATCCGATTGATGTCCGCGTTGTTCTTGATGCGCTCAATTGGCCTCGGCCTGAGCCAATATGGTGCCGACCTGATCTTGAGGTTTCATGGAAAAGCGTTGTCGCAAGGGTTTGGGGGCTTCGGTTGAGGCTCGGGCGGCTAGGCTTCCGTTTGTAGAGGGGTAGTCGCAAAACTCTCCAAGCATTGGTGGGTGGTCTCGGACAGAGGTACAGCGGTAGAGCGGTGAGGGCAAAGGAGCGGAAAATCGCCACTCCCTATCCCTTTACTTCCCTGTAACTCTTCAGCAGGTAAAACACCACATTGTTTCATAAGCGCGCGCCCAAACGAGGAATGGGTTGGAACAGGCGAAGCCAAAACGGGAACGTGGGAGGGGAAGCCGCCAGCACAAAGAGATGTTGGAGAACAGGTATGTGGGGCACAAGTGAGGCCAGCAGTTGGGGCACAAGTGAGGGACCATCAAGGGGACAAGCATTTTTTCATGGAATCTTCAGCAAGCTGTGAGAGTGTTGCCAGAAGCTTGTGACGCTGAGCTCTTTTTGCCATCGTGTTACCATAGTTGAAAGTCGTGTTGCTGGGCATTTTGGCCCAAGGGGCCTTGGACAGCCATTTTGATCAGCCCGGTCTTTTCAAGCCCAACCTGGCGAAATACCCTCCCTAACGCCCCACCTCCCGAACTCCCGAACTCCCAAAACTCCTAAGCCCTATACCTCCATTCACCCCCCCCCTCCCCTTCAAAGAAACAAGAATCGAAAACACACTTTTCTCGGCTGAAGTTAGGCTCAAGCCCCGCCAGTGGGAAGCCTCCCGGAAGGGAAGTGCAGCACTGGCAGGGGTTATCCAGGAGAACAACGTGATACTCCCATGTTTTCCCTCTTGCTTTACACGCTTGTTGTCATTGTTGTTATATCTGGCATCTAGACCATCTTTGAAACCATGTGCAACATTTTCGCAGTCATGCCTGAAAAAGCGGGCTGTAGCATTTATTCTTAAAGGACTGGGCCCCTTAGATTCGTGGTTCGAAAAGTCTCCCGGAGCATCATTTAGAAAGCTTCCCGGGGGCTTGTCCCCGCCAAGTGCTTTCAGCATGACACTGCAGTCCACGGTTAGCGGCGCCTCGGTTGCCTCCGTCTTCGTCGTCGGCGCCGTGCATTGGCTTCTCTGTGGGAGCGACGTCCGTCTGCTCTACCGCAAACTCTCCGCTGGCTGCCGCTCTGGGCAACGAGAGCCGCCCGCTGAGAAGTTGCGGGTCGATGGCGCTATGGAGCGCCTCGTCGAAAGCAACTTTGTCATTGCAAGCCGGATCCTCCAGCATGCTCTTCCATTCACCGTGGTCGCCTTGATGCAGGCCAGGTTGTTCAGAGCGGGGAGTCCGAGTCAGATGCGCCACAGTGATCCACGGTGCTTCATGGAAGGGAGATGTCAGCTCTGTACAGTCTTCGCGAACCAAGCAAGCCACCTCAAAAGCATTCAAAAACCCCAAGATCCCCCCCAAGAGGCCCAAGACATCGCGGAAGTCTCCTGGAACTCCCTGTCAGGAGGGCTCAGGTATGATCTTCGTGGTGGCCACCCTAATCTGCTACGCGACGCACGTCCTGGTGGCCAAGGGCTTGGTCCGCATGCCGGCCAGCAAGCTGAAGCCCTGGTGCCGCCTGGTCTACGCGCCGCGGCTGGCTAGACATCCCCCGGAGGCCTAAGGCCTAAGCCCGGGTTTAGGGTTTAGGGTTGAGGAGTTTTTAGGGTTTAGGGATTGGGGTTCAGGGTTAAGGGTTTAGGGTTTTTGCGATTTTGGGTTAGGGTTTAGCCCCTCTCGCTTTTTCCAAGGCAAGAGCGCAGAGTTTGGCATAGGGAACCTTGAGTCTTCTCTTCTGAACCCTCTTCCGGTCATGCCGGCCATATTCCTCGTCAGGGGACCCCTAAACCCTAAACCCGAAGCCCTAAACCCTAAACCCTAAACCCAACCCTAAACCCTAACCCTAAACCCTAAACCCTAAACCCTAAACCCTAAACCCTAAACCCTAAACCCTAAACCCTAAACCCTAAACCCTAAACCCTAAACCCTAAACCCTAAACCCTAAACCCTAAACCCTAAACCCTAAACCCTAAACCCTAAACCTAACCCTAAACCCTAAACCCTAAACCCTAAACCCTAAACCCTAAACCCTAAACCCTAAACCCTAAACCCTAAACCCTAAACCCTAAACCCTAAACCCTACACCCTAAACCCTAAACCCTAAACCCTAAACCCTAAACCCAAAACCCAAAACCCCCAAGGTCATGGGAACAGCTGGTGCCTTCGAGATGCGCCGCACGCAAGGCCCAGAAGTTGCCATGGTGCAAAGCTTCCACGCGGCAGGGCGGATGGTGTCGCCGGGACGCGATCCGGGTTTAGGTTTAGGGTTTAGGGTTTAGGGTTTAGGGTTTAGGGTTTAGTTCACCTTGCACTGTTCCCAGCATCCTTGAGAGCATTGTTTCCGATTTCAGCCTCTCCGTCAACCAAGACTCTAGACCGAAAAACGCTCTAGCTGAGGTTGGTTGTGGCGTTTGTCGACAGCCGGCTCCACATTCCACACCAGGTTGCCCTCTCGTGTGCGGAGGTGCTGTGGTCCCAAGAACTGAAAAGGCTTAGGATTCAGGGATTTAGGCCCAAGACCTAAAAGCCCAAAACCTCCAAACCCTCAACCCTAAGACCCTAAACCCTAGGCCCTGGGCTGCAGAAGCGCCTAAGCCACGCCCCAGGTGCTCTTCTACACCATGGAGCACGGGTGCACACAAGCGGCGTTAGCCCTGGCTGTTGGACAGGCCTGCCTGCTCTGTGTCATCATCGCCCCTTTGCCCGCATGTTGGAGGGCTTGAGGAGCACCTTCAGCCTCCGAGGGTTCGATGTGACCGTCCTTCGATTCCTCAACCCGCCCCCCCTCCCCCCCCCCCCGCGCTGAAGGCGCTGAGTCTGATGCTGGAGTCCTACCTCCGTGACAACTTCACCGCACAGTTCAAGTCTGCAGATGCCGAGGCGTCATGGGTCGGGTTTAGAGGTTGAGATTCCCTTCCAAGACAGGTTTTCAATCTGACCATTCACTTCTAGTGCTGAACGGGGAAGTTTGGTTTAGGGCTCTTGGGGTTCAGGGCTGAGGGAAAGCGGGAGCGGGTATAGGTGCTGTTGTGGCGGGCATGTGCGGAGAATGCACTGGGATGAGTGAGTTTGGCTCTTGGCACGAGTGCATGTTAGGGTTCAGGGTTCCTTGGTCTCAAGTGGCCAACACCCTCAACACCCATCCCAAACCCGAAGCCCAGAACCCTAAATCTCTCAGGTCATGATCCGCGGGTTCCGCCAGATGCTGCAGGGAGTCTGCGATGGGGAGGCGTGATTGCCGGCTAAGGGGTGTGGGGAAATTGAACATTGCACTGTACTAGGGTCTTGGGTGTCGCACTTGTCTAAGGGTATTTACATGGGCCCGTAATATGGTCCTTTACTTCCTTTAAAGGGTTGTGAAGTATGGGCCCTTGGGTTGGGCAGGGTGTATAAGGGGTAGAAAAGGGGTCACCATGAAACCACCCTAGAGCTAGGGGCCTGGATCCCTGACGAATCCCTCAGCCTCTTGGTAGCACGGACCACGTCTACGTCTGGGGCAGGTGAAGCCCTACTAAGCCCAGATGACCACTAGAATTCTAAACGACCCTAAACCCCCCCAAGCCCAAACAACCTTAAACCCTAAACCCTGAACCCCGAACCCTAAGGTGCTCCTGGACGGTGGCCTCCGAATCCAGGGCGAAAGCCCGAGCCTTCGCCGACTTCTTATGACCACCGCCGCGGTCGACGGGCGCTCTTTCCAGGAGAGCGGGGGGGTTCAGGGTTTAGGGTTTAGGGTTCAGGGAGGGTTTAGGGTCTAGCTAAGGGCGCACTTTGAGGAATCTAGGAGGATGGGGGGCATGGGGTGGGGTGGGGTGGGGTGGTGTTTGAGAAGTATTGGGGGTTGAGGGCTTCGGGTTTCAGCAGCGCAAAGCCGTCACACCTTCATTGTGGTCCTCGTCCTCTTCCTTGTCTCGCCTCCGGAGCGAGGGAGAGAGCGAGAGAGAGCGAGCGAGAGAGAGCGAGCGAGAGAGAGCGAGCGAGAGAGAGGGAGAGAGAGTGAAGCAAAAACCAGACTGCGGGCTTGAGAGAAGTTTCACGGAAACACGGACCGCGGGCGTGCACTGCGCGCGCAAGAAGAAGAAGCAGAAGCAGAAGACGAAGAAGTGCCTGCTGTCATATGCAACCGCACGCCATAGGTCTTCTTGACCGTAGCTCTCTCTTGCCTCGAGACCATCACCTGAAGCAGTAGCTCAGGAACTGGATGACATGCTCCTTTAGAGCGCATCTCCATGCCAAATCAGTCGCATGAAAGCCGCACTTGAACTGCTTCACGGGCCTACTTAAACTCTTTGTCGAGGCATCCACTTGGTTTGCTCGTTTCGGTTCTTGAGGTGACCTCCCCTTTTCGTGCTTGTCGGAAGACTCGCCATTGCGAACGTATGAATGATCCAAAGAGCGAGAGGACGAGAATGCAGGAACGAGCAAAGGTTTTGGTTACTGCGGTTGTTGCTGTTCTTGCCGAGTCCGAGTTGCTCTCCTAAACCCTAAACCCTAAACCCTAAACCCAAACCCTAAACCCTAAACCCTAAACCCTAAACCCTAAACCCTAAATCCTAAACCCTAAACCCTAAACCCTAATCCGCAAACCCTAAACCCTAACCCCAAACCCTAAACCTTAAACCCTAAACCCTGAAAACTCCCGAGCTGCCGTTTCGAGGAGCTTCTGGAGGACGATCATCAGCAGGGGAGCCGCTTCCAGGACTTCATCGCAAGGCCGTTGTCCCCAGCTTCGGGGGTCCCCCCCCCCCCCCAGGGTTTAGGGTTTAGGGGTTAAGGTTTAGGGTTTCGGGTCTAGGGGTTAGGGTTCCCCCACTAACCCACCCACCCACATGCTCGAATCTAGCATGCCGAACAGAGTTTAGGGTTTTCGGGTTTCGGGTTTTGGCTACAAATAGGAGTGGGTTCTTGGAGAACCATGAGAACCCCAAGGTCGGCTGAAGCCGTTTCAAGGCAGTCCGGAGCGACCCCGCCTTGCCTCCGGGTGTCCCTGCAAAGCC